TAAGACTGAAATCAACCCCGTAAGTCCATGTGAAATACTGTTAGTTTTGTCTCACATTGTACATAATGTATACGTTAAATTACACCTATAAGACTACCTAATTCATCAGTTTTAATAAGTGAGGGTTTTGGACTACAAGTTTACGCATGCGTGGCCTTGTGGTTGAGGCCAATTTGCGACTCCAGGTAGAGTCACAGACAGCGAACGTGTTAAAATTTGCACCTTATTTCTATTGCTATAGCATAAAATATTAATTAATAAATAAATGTCCCTCTGTCATTACTTCTTTCTTTCCGTCGATGATTTGGGCTTTAATAGTGATGTTAAGGTCAATTGCTCGGACAAGGGTGGACAAGGTTTCTTGTCTATCGCATCGTATTGTATGATAGCCAGTGGACACGCATCTTTAGAGTTATTCACTGGTAACTTCCGGTTTCTTTATTATTTTGCATTCATGCCGAAGCCATTCAATAAATGGGATCGGTACACGTGTATGGAATTTTTATCTCTCTAGCGGAACGAATACCTACTTATTAAGCATCATTATAATAATAATAATAAAAAACTAGCTTTTGTTCGTTATTTTTTTCTCGCTTCAAAACGATTACTTGTGCATGACCCGAAAAGTGAACTCTATTAGTATGTATGACAGACAACTATTGCAAATTCAGCTGTTTGCGGCATGTGCAAATTCAGCTGTTTATCAATGATTTTATGTACATACAAATTTCTTTGAACATCAAGATGTTATAATTTATGAACCGACTTCATAAAATGGAGGTTCTCAATTTGACTGTAATTTTTTTTAATGTATGGTACGCGATTTGTAAACCGATTTTGATGATTATTTTTTTTGGAAAGAGGATACCTCAGTATTGGTGCCATTTAAATTGGAAGAAAATATTTCACCTCTAAGGGTGGCAAACTAGGGGTTGAATTACTTTTGAGGTCGGTTCGGACACTTAGAAAAAATTCCTTAAATCCGGCAGGATTCGAAACAACGTCGTCCAGCAAACCGTGCCAGACGCTATGTCAACTAAGCTATGGAACGAACTAGCGGACGAGGTGCTTGTTGCAGATCTATGTTTTTGGTTTTAACGGCTTTTTTGTCGTAGTGCCGTCTGTGAGAAATATATACTCCCGGATACGTAATTCGAGCCACCTCGCATTTTTGTCGTAAGGGCTAAAATACAAAAATAGTGTTATCATTGAAGAAAAAGTTATTTCCCGGGTTTGCAAATCCAAATTCGCAACAAGGACTTAAAACGTTTAGTATACTATAGACTTCTTAGGTTTTCGCGATTGACACATAGGAAATGAAACTATTTTTCCGGATTTAAATCGCGTATATTTGTTTTTTCAAACAAACCGACGTTTCTGGCCCTTTACAGGTCAGCCAACCGTGACCATGGGACCTGTAAAGGGCGCGAAAAGTCGATTTGTTTGAAAAAACAAATATACGCGATTTAAATCCGGAAAAATAGTTTCATTTCCTATGTTTGGTATACTACTTTCAAAATTGCATAATACTTTTTGATCAATCAAACATTGTTTAAGCTTAGAGCACTTAATACAGAAAATGCGTGGTGGCTCGAATGATGTGTCCGGAAGTGTATTTCTTCACTCAGCTTTATGGCTCTATGGTTTTATATTCTTCAATCAACATACTTTAATTTTGGAGTAGTAAATATCAAAGAAGATACTCCACTAGTTTGTTGTTATCATTATTATTATTTTATGTTAACGAGTGGCGGAACGAACAAGTCGTGCGCCTGGTGGTAAACGACATGCCTACCCATAACAGTTGCGGTAGGCCACTGGAGACGGCCATTGCGTCTGATATCCTGAGACACAAAGTTGATAAGTCCCATGTATCTGAAGTTTCACCAGCACCGGAACGCAGCAATGCTTACATTACTGTTTAGCAGCAGAAATAGGTAAGGTGGCCGTACCTCCCTGCACAAACTTTTACAACTAGAGACACGGAAAAAGTATCGATAGTTTTCGGTATCGAGTACTCGATACTTTTTATTAAATATTATTTTTCTGGTATTAGTACTTTTTGACAACTATCGTATCGTATTGTTTCGGATAATATTTATTTAGGACTCATATCATAGCGCAAGCCACCTAGCGATTTTGTTTAATGGCAAACCTTCACCACAAATGACATGACTATATAGTGTGTGCTACCCTTTGCCTCTTTCTAAGAATGAGCATGAAGAAAAATAATTACAAACGTTTGAATTGACAATTTCCGTTTTCGTTTTGTAATCGTTTCTCCGTGTCCATCACGGGCGTCACGATAATGTCGAACCACGCAAAAAAAGTCACTACCTACGTTTTAAAGTTGATACATGCATTAATTCATATAGAGCATTATGTTGTAATAGTAGCTCTACTACAACAAATTTGCAGGACAAAAGCATCGATACTTGATACTGTGTCCCTATTTATAATTCTCCAATTTAAGCATAAAAAAGTTAATGATCCTAACGTTCAACCGATGTTTACTGGTATATTCGCTTTGTAAATTTAGTATAAAACTAACAAAACCCTATTTATATGAGTCCGGCAGAATCTTACTAGCGCGATTCAGGAATTTCATAAAATGTTACTAACGCCAACTAGTATTGACAAAAGTTACTAGACCTGAATGTTAACTAAAAGGATTCTTTTTTATAAACATAAGCATTAAGCTAAATAAAAATTATGTTTTACACTACAGACTAAACGTAAACAGAAAATAATGAAAATTTTATTAAAAAATTTAAGGACGTGCCGAGTGTTGGTAACTTTATCGATAATACTCACATATTTAAAATAGATATATAATGTCGTTTATTGGATTCTCGAGCGATGACGCAATCCGTGTTTTGTCATTTTAAATGGTTTTCTATCGTTATTTCTTTGCTGATTAGGTGCTTTGTTTACATTGTAGTACTTTAGCAAATGAATCAATTACAATAATACCCAGGAGGACCTGTGCTCGATTTGCGCCGACACTTCCATGTAAACATGTGAAAGAACAACGGCCAAGTTCACACAGTCTTGGACCAGCTAAAAAAGTTGACGACTATCAATCATACATATACATAGGGTTTCATTTGTATTATGATTAACTAGGGAAAGTCGATTTAAGCAACATTTTCTTTTTGAGGTTATATTAGTAATGAACATTAATAATGTTGCTTTGTAGTACGGAGTTAAATATTATGCTAACATAAGTAGAAGACGTACCAAATATCAGATACTTTTTGAACATTCGAAAAAAACACTAATATAATATTTAAAAATTTATATTTATTGCAGTCACAGTCATTGTCTATCTAAAGACTTTACATAGGAAAATGAATTAAACTTATATCTATGTTCATTTATTTTTTATATAATTATTTTGTTTTAATTAGAAAAATCAACGATGTGTTCACATGTACCCTAATAATGGATATCCAGTACAGGGTACACTATTCAATATTAAATGTCCAGTATAGGGTACACTCTATTAACCAGGGCATGTATTTAAATGGTCCTTTTAAATTTGCAAAAGCAGTAGGCAAAAAACATTTAAATATAAAAAGACTCTATACAACCAGTGATGTACATAGGTACCACAATATCGGATATCTAGTATTATGGTTACCTAGGTATCCAATATTGAGATAACAACATATTTGTACAATAATCGGTTACGAAAACTTCACCCTGCGCAATTATCGCTAAAATGCGCCTAGGATATAACACTGTCACAAAATATAACATCACTTAAAGTACTTTAAAAAAAAACACTTTGAATGTTGACAGCGAACTAAAGGCAAAAACGGCGCAGACAACTAACAAAATATATTTTTTTTATAATATCAACTCACGGGATGAACAAGCCGTACGCCTGATGGTAAGCTACACGCCTGTCCATAACAGTTGCAGTGCCACTCAGAGCTTTAAATTGCAAAGATTTGAGGGGCACTGCCACTGCGCCCGTCACTCTGAGTCATAAGTTGACAAGTCCCATGTGCCTGTAATTTCACCTTTTATTATGATATATATACATATTATTAATATTAAATTAAAATTACAAAGAGAATAACATCATTTGTGTGTGTATATGTGCGTGGGTGCGTGCGATTTTAAGGGAGGTTTTTAATTTATTTTTAAGAGATTTTTATTAATTTTATAATTATAGTTTTAGTTTTGAAATAAAGGTGGTGTTGTTTAGTTTTCATTATAGCGGGGTATCCAGTATTGTACACGTATGCAATATTTGGTACGTCTCTCTTATAGTTGGCTCCAAATTAAAAGTAGTAGTTAGATTCACTACGACCGAAGAATGAGATAAAAAAGGGTGCAAAAAGATGTGATTTTTTGAAAATGCTAAAAAGATTGACGTTTAATTTAAATTCTCGTTTACACTAACATGATTTCTCGTACGTTGAGACAATTTCTCGAATTTCTTCTCGAATTTTCCGACGACTTTGAAGCTGAGGTGAGAGTCAAGTTCCAGTTAAACTTTCGTTCATAATGTCTTAAGTTGAAGTAAGTGTAAACGAGGCTTAAATAAATATGTCAAAATGCAAGTCTAATCTCAGTACAGAGTATTAAAAAAACAACGACGTCAAAATTTATTCATCCCCTAGTTTGCCACTCTTGGAGGTGGATTTTTTTCTTCAAATTGAAATAGGACCCCTATTGAGGTACCCTCTTTCCAACAAAAAAAAGAATCATGAAATCAGTTCACAATTTTGTCATCCGGCCGGAGTTATCGCGTAAAGTAAAAAGAAAAAAAAATGTAGTCAAAGTCGAGTCGAAGAACCTCCTTTTTTGAAGTGAGTTAAAAACAAACATTTACAATGCGTTCATATGTATTTACGTATTTTTAAAATTAATATCTTTTTAACAATTTTTTTTTAAATTTAAACGATGATTATGTATATCTAAATATGAATATACATATATAACATCTAAATATTAAGGCACTGATTTGGTTTCTTGCATTGTTCCAGCAAGGCATCGGCGTCGAGTTGGTCCGCGCTCTGGACAGCCATCCTCCAACTGTATCCAATGTTTTCTGCGAATGCGACTCTAAGGATGATGTTGTAAGTAATCAATCATTCATTATCTTAAGACCCGTCCACAAGGTCAAGCTAAGTGTGTACGATTTTTAACTAAGCGTAGATAGCGAAGAGCAGAGCAATAGAAATGTTATCGTGAATAAAGCACTCATCTTCTTACGTACGTTCTATATCTTTTTTAATGATATTAAGTTACGGGACGAACAAGTCGTGTGACTGGTGGTAAGCGACACACCTGTCCAAAGCAGTTGCAGTGTCAGCAGAGCTTTAAATCGCAAAAATCTGAGGGGCATTGCCACTGCGCCCGTCAGCATGAGACATAAGTTGACAAGTTCCATGTGCCTGTAATTTAACCAGCACCCTTCAAAACCTAATGCTCATATTGCTGTTAGGTGGCAGAAATAGGTAAGGTAGCAGTAGTTTCCTGGACGAACTCTTTCACAAGGAGGTCCACTGCTACCGAAACTTTTGTCTTTGCTGACTCGATAACACTGAACCGGATTTCGTATTTCGTACCTTTGGTATAATAAAGCCTACGTGTGAACATACCTCAAATATGCTTTTATCCGTTTATCACATGATGGTCATAAAGGTAATACGATTTGTATGGAACAAATTATGTGAAATTGTATAACTCTTCTATTTTTACATAATAAAGGACAGATTCTGCGGGAGCTTAACGCGGACCAGACTATCTACCTTATATCTCCGTAGGATACTTGATTTCTTGGGTCACATTGCCAGGAAAAAAAGGGCACAACTTCGAACAGCTAACGGTTACCGGACGGAACGACGGTAAACGTCCGAGAGGTCGCTGTCCCACAAGATGGTCCGACCAAGTCTGTACGGCTCTCGGCATGGATCTCCATGATGCATTCCACTATGGCAAAGAACGCCACAGATGGCACGCACAATGGTTTTCGCGGGGGAGTCATGACCCTCAGTCACTCACGACAATGAGGTAAATGATGCATAAAGGAGGAGGATTTATGCATAAAAGTTGTCGATTAATTTCGTTCGTAGAACCTTTTCAGGAGATAGGTGTCTCCTGAAAAGTTGTAGGTTATTTTGCAGATATTGACTCGTCGATTAAGACCACTTACATATGTAAGTGGCCTTTATCATGATGGTCTTAATTAACGACGTTCGACGAAGGAACGGCCAATATCACACAACCCAGTCTGTCGAGTGCTGGCCATTGCCCAATTGTCTCCTGAGTCTCTCGATTCAAATACATTCCATCAAAAACGTGGTATATGTCTTGAATGATGCCGCAATTGCTACAATATAGAGTTGGTGTAATGCCCATCGTATCGTATTATGGTATTGGAATGGCAAAGGATGACATGACCCGCCTTAACAACATTAAAATGGAAGAAGAGAGATCACGTAAGTAGGCACGAAGCTGCCCGCGATTCTCAGACATGAGGGAACGACTAGAGAGAGATAGAGAGTAATGCCCATCAAAAAGGGTCTTTGAAGGAATGTGCCCAGAACGCAACCTCAGAGTCGTCACAACACTTAAGTCTATTCAGGGTACAGTTATCAATCCACGAAAGTCTTTCTCCTTGTTGAATCTTTCGCCTTCTTCAGTATTTCGCCTTTTGATTAGACTGCAGAGATTAGATGTTCTGTTAAGTAATCCAATTGAGCGGTATGACACAATCAATTTAAATCTAAAGCAAACCACAACGCGTGTAATGATTGCTTCCGTCCACTTTCAGTTGATTAAATTGGTAGTTCCGTTGTAGCCTGACGCTATACGAGTATTCTATCTACATAATATCTACTATGGGCCTCATAAGAAGGCTCAAGGTCACTGGAGAGAGCGATGCTCGGTATTTCCCTACGTGATAGAATCAGAAATGAGGAAATCCGTAGGAGAACTAAGGTAACAGTGGGCGGGGCACATAGCTAGGAGAACCGATGGCCGTTGGGGCGGAAAGGTTCTTCAATGGCGACCGCGCACCGGACGACGCTCAGTGGGTAGGCCCCCCACCAGGTGGCCCGATGATCTGGTAAAGGTCGCGGGAAGCCGATGGATGCGGGCAGCGCAGGACCGATCGTCGTGGAGATCGTTGGGGGAGGCCTATGCCCAGCAGTGGGCGTCGTATGGCTGAACGATGATCTACATAATATATATTTGATTAGTACTTGTTACGTGTGTATATGTTATGTTGTATTTTTGAAGATATTCTTTGGTTGCATCCCTTTTGCATATCCCAAATTTTTATCCTAAGGTTGCCTGGAAGAAATTCGAGACCACCTCAGCTCGATTTTCAATTTTTCCAATCGTGAAATTTTTTTATGAATCACGTTTTCACGCCGTATACTAATATATACTGTGTATATCTTCAATTTTACTATATGTTTTTTATGATTTATTGTGTAGTGTAAGTGGAGTGTACCTACAGTAATGTAGTGATTGATTGATACTTTCACTGTCATACGGAATCAACCGAAGCCAATTGAGGTTGTATCCATCTTAAATACCGGGAAGTAAAACTAGGATTAAATTATATGAAGATAAAATTGGGTCCTCGCGGCAAGGGGTACAAGATGCTGGCAGCGTTCTCCCTTTGTATGGCTATGCTAATGCATTGGGCAAGATAGCTGCCGACTCTTGGGCTTCCCAGACAGTCTATTAATTTATCTTGATTTTAAATTAGTTTTTAAACAAAAAAATTGCTTTGAGGTCAGTCCATCCGTTTTGTGAGCCACGATGCCACAGACAAAGGCTTCACTGATAACTTTCTTCTTTTTGCGTCGGGTTGTTAAAAAAAATAAATTACAAATTCAAAAAGTCTCGGTAGGGGACACCCGGATTTGAACCGGGGACCTATCGATCTGCAGTCGATTGCTCTACCACTGAGCTATATCCCCGCTGACAATTTGCATCGAAAACAATAATCACTTTGTGACTAATGTAGACACGTAGGCGGGTGATATGGCGTTGCACAATAATAATCAACTTTCATGGCAGGTTTTAAAGTTTATAATGGTTAATTTTGTGTTGAAAAGGGTAGTTTAACAACGAGGGTTACATAAAATTTGATTGTATCTTTTAGCGCTGTGACCAAGTTTGCTTATTTGTGCGTCACACTGCCGGACACGGGTCTCCTCTCTGGCAAGGGTTTAGGCCATAGTTTCCCAAATTTTTGGCTCTTTTTTTATAATATCAAGCGACGGGACGAACAAGTCGTGCTCCTGATGGTAAGCTACACGCCTGTCCATAACAGTTGCAGTGTCACTGACCTCTTTAAATCGCAAAGATCAGAGGCGCACTGCCACTGCGCCCGTCACCCTGAGACAAAAGTTGACAAGCCCCATGTGCCTGCAATTTCACCAGCCCTTCAAAACCAGAACACAGTAATGTTGACATTACTGCTTGGCGGCTGAAATAGATAAGGTTAACAAAGGCGCCAACCAACACAAAAATAATTGATAACTCGTATTTTTTTTATGTTAACTTAACACAAAAAATTAGAATGAAAAATTATTATATACTTGTAGTGTAGTTTATATAGATAGTTGGGGTTTTTTTTTCAATTGCTTCCGAGGCCCCTACCCTGCCCTGGGACTCTTTAGCGCCCACCGAGGGGCGGTTGGGACCACTTTGGGAAACTATGGTTTAGGCCATAGTCCTCCACGCCGACCCAATGTGTACGGGACTTCATACGTTTTCCGAGAGTTGCGAACCTTCTTCTGACGTGAACGTCGTATATTTTATGGCAAAAGGTCGTCTGGCGAACGAGCGGTAATCAATGAAGGTGGCAGCAGTGGTTAGTTTATTAACAAATCGACAGTGTAATTATAATTAATTATTACTACTTACATCTACAAACACGTGATTGTGATTTGTGTATCGTTTTCGGTCTAATTCCATACCCCCTTTCCAACAAAAAAGAATCTTTTTTGTGGGGAATGGGGACACCATTTCATAGAAACCTATATCTGAAAGTGACCATATTATATTTTTTGCATATTTACAATCATGGTTGATAACAATTATAATACAAGGAAGATGACCTCTGGTAAATTTGTTTCACCAAGAGCGACTAACTACTATGGAGAGAGGACCATTTTCCAGACTTTGATACATCATAAACAATGTAAATTCCTTATTCCAGACTATCACGTGTGACATCGAAGCGACTCCTGCGTTCCAGCTGAAAGCCTTCAGCCAGCGTGGTGAGAAGGTCGAAGTATCGCATTACCGGGTTAACGTGAACAGGTATATATTTATATATTCAATATGGTACAATTACAGATACACTAGTTACATTTGCGACTGCTATCCACTTACAATTGCACAGCTTTGCAAAGAAAAAATAATTATATAATTATTGACAACTGATTAAAATAATACGAAAAATAATAATATCCTCTCCTTACTTTCTCAAACTCGTATCTCAAAAGATCAAAGTAACTCAAGTGCAAAAAATGCATTGTTTATACAAATTTGAAGGCTGATTTCACATTAAATTGCCTTCGTATTCACATACTGGCAACCTATTTTTAAAGTAATGGATCCAATTTAAAACCCCTGACAAGAAATTTAAAATAAATATAAATTTTTGCAATCTCCTGAATAATCACTCTTTATAAGATACGAGTTTGAGAAAGTAGGGCATCGATATGCAATAATGACTTTACTGGATGAATTATGAATAAATAATATGAAATAATGAAATAATACGAAAATGTTAATAATCTCAGTAGAGAGTACTAAAAAAAACCGACCTCAAAAGTACGTGGAATTACGTCTATTTGCTAAGTTTTATTGAAATATCCCCTAGTTCGCCACTATACTAAAACTAACTAACTAAACTATAATAAAAATCACTCTCTATCTATAAAATCTATAATAGTTCTCACTACTCAACGTATATTAAGAGAAAAACGCCTTGAATTGGAGAAATAGCAAAATTAACTATTAAAATAATTGCTCCTTAAGTAAAATTTAGGCGCTATTTGTGAAAATGAATGTTTATGCCCGATCAGCCACCCATAGAGGTGGATGATTTTCTTCAAAATTAAATGGGACCACTATGAAGGTACCCTCTTTCCAACAAAAAACGAATCATGAAAATCGGTTCAGAAATACCGGAGTTATCGCGTAACATACATACAAAAAAAAACATACAGTCGAATTGAGAACCTTCTCCTTTTTTTGAAGTCGGTTAAAAATTAAGTAAATTTTTAAATCATTGATAAAACTGCCTCCGTGGCCGAACGGTTACCATGCCGGACTGCCACGCAGAGGTCCCAGGTTCGATTCCCGGGCCGAGAGAAATAGTCCTACTAATAGGCCATACATGGCCTACAATTATTTCTCTCGTGAGTTTGGGTGTAATTTGTGGTTGTCTATGTGTGTGTCCATGGCACCCGCGACACAGGGTTTCCCTAGTGCGGGGCTATGTTGAGTGTGTGCGTTATTGATAAAAAAATAAAAAAGACATTACGTTTGTAATGTCTTTTTTGTAATGTCACAAATGCATTGAAAAAACTATTTTTTTTTAAAGTTATGACGATGTGGACGAGTATTTCCAAGATAAATTATGATTAATGTCTGTCCCGCTCCCTTTCCATGTTGCGATGCTTGTCAAGGTGCATGTATTTGTTAGTGTATAAGCACATATATATTCATAAGTATATTTTTGTAACGACGACACATGCAAAGCACTTATAAATAAATATGTTATGCAGTTAAGGCCGGAAAGGAAACACCCTCAACTCAGCAATTACTTGATAATCGGCTCATTCACTCACCGTTATCAATTCGTTCAGCCGGCGGTAAAATAGTAACGTCAACTGATTGCAATTAATTATTTTATGCACTTTTCACAGTAATTAGTCCGAAAATATAAGAGATGGATAAGATTAAAACGGATTCTAAATATCACGCGGCAAGTTCAAAGAGGACGAGGCGGTACGTCTTCACTGTCCAAGCAACTTACATAAAAAGCCCTTTGGGCTGTCAAACTGACGTGACATTTGCAAACAAAGAAACCCTGATCGAGACTAGTTAAAATGGTTCATAGGTAGCCTAGTAAATCGTTTATCTAATAGGTTATACGATGATAGCTGGCTCCAACAAATAAAGAAATAGTATAAAGTTTTTGATTCACTGTAGTTTTAAACCTCGTAAATGGCAATTTTTTTGCGATATCCCCCATTTCTCTGCGTGCAGAGGTTTTCCAACCAATCAACCAGTCGTCGACCACTAGGACATCCTATGTAGGCCTTTTCAGCTGGGCTGGCATTCTTTCAAAGCGTCCGACCCAACAACGGAGTCTTGCGGACTTGATTTAATACTTCGCTACCAAGTTTTTTTTTTATAATAGCAAGTGAACGGGACGAACAAGTCGTGCGCCTGATGATAAACCACGCGCCTATCCATAACAATTGCAGTGCCACTCAGAGCTTCCAATGGCAAAGATCTTAGGGGCACTGCCACTGCGCCCGTTACCCTGAGACATAAGTTGACAAGTCCCATGTGCCTGTAGTTCCACCAGCACCCTCACCTTTCAAAACGAAAGGCAGTAATGCTTACATTACTGCTTGACGGCAGAATAGTTAAGGTGGTAGTACTTCTCTGGATGAGCTCTTTCACAAAAGCTCTACTGCTACTATATTGGCGTGATTGTCTAGCATGTTTAAAAAGAAGTTAACACCCAATTTGTCCCCGTTTACAGGTTTCGTTCCCGCCTAAATGTAGTCTGCATAACGGAGAAGCTAACGGGCAACATCAAGTTCGACGGCTGGCCGGACGTGAAGGTGGTGCTGGCACCTGTCGGTGCTCTGAAGCCTAATGCCAACGAGAATAACCTTCAAACGCTGGTGAAGTATGTATGAGACCAGGGCCCTAAGTCTGCTAATTTTGTTAAAACCATTGGTCAATGTAATTCCATTGAGATACCCCTGAGAGTGTATCGCAAATTATGATAATATTTGTTATTCTGCCAAAACCTAGTTACAACGGCAGTTCAGTCTCAATCATCGAGTATATAACCAGAAATAGAGACGAAATGTCATTTAATTTGTTTGAAAACTATTCTGCCAAATCAAACTGCGCTTCGATTGACATTTCTTTTACAAAGAGATTAAGATACTTTTAGAAACGTTGGCAAGAACTCATAGTTTTTTCCAACTAAAATATTACATATGACGCTTCTCAAACGCTCTATTGTCTCCTGATTGGTTAAATTGGTCCAAAGGTATTATAACCGCGCCATAAACCTTTATAAAAAATAAATTGGTTAAAATATAAGCGGTACTTGGCCACTTCTATTCTATCTCTTTTGTTATTGATTAACAAAATACAGATTGAAATATTGATTGTGTTTCATTATTTCATTCATTCATATTCCTGCAATGGCATTTCAATTATATAATACAGGTTAATAGACATAAAATTTATAGTAGGTAGGTACATACACGTTATTGCCAAATATTGCTATTATTACATTTAATTTATTATTTAATATATTAATTTTAACTGCCTCATGTGAGGTGCCTGCCCTAATGTGAGTTTATTATCAATTATCACGCCCAAATCACTACTACTGTCGACCTCGTTTAATGTAACACTATTGATATTGTATACAAACCTAAATGGGTTGTCGTTACGAGAAATTGTTATATAGAAACACTTTGAGGGATTAAGAGACATATTGTTATCCATGCACGGTCCATGTCCCAAGTTGTGCATCATCAGCTTTCTCTGTAACTTTAACCAATTTCAAATTATCTGCATAGAGAAATGGAACAGAATGCTGTATAACGCCAGTGATGTCATTAATAAACATATTAAACAATACAGGTCCCAAATGCGATCCTTGAGGTATTCCAGAGTTGTTATTATTATTATATATTGTTACGTTATTTCTAAATATTGTTATATATATTGTTATTGCGAAATTCAAACACATAAATGATATTAATCAGACATTATTTTAATCGTAATTTTAGAAATATAATTAAGATGATCCCTTTCAAATATAATAAAAAAAAATCGAATCGTTAACGTAATTAAAAAACGACAATAATCAATGCAAGTACGAATTAAATTATAAATATTTATGCAATTGTATACTAAACTGTTCTATCATTCTTCATCTTCCAGTGACATTGTGGTAAGCGCGCTGCGCAACACATGCTTCGATTTCAACTTGTCACAGTACCCTACCTGTCCGCGCCTTAGAAGATATGTGGACACCTCTCACCGACTGCCGCTGCATTATGACTCACTCGTAAGTCTGTTGCTTAAGCTGAGTTTACCTTACGCGGATTTTTGTAACCATAGCATAATTTATGCTAATTGTGAAACGTACAAACGAGCCAAAAAAACATGTCGCGCGTGATATTTTATTGGGAATGACCAACAATTGTATAAGGAGAATTAAACCATTGTTAAACGACTGCACGAACTCTCGAACTAAATTAGTCGACAACTTCTTTTTCAACTTCCGTACTTTCCGTTAATCTGTCAATTATAATTTTGGTACCCCCAATGGACACCACGCTAACTTAAGTTTTGGACCTGTTCTGTTTTTTTGTTTTTTTATTGTTGTTTTCACAAAATTCGTTTTTTGTTTATATTTCGAATAGTGTTTTTTGTTTGTTTATTTTTTTTTTCACAAAATTCGGGGAGTATAACATTAATAAATATATATCGTCTGCTTAAAGGTAAAACCACATAAGTTATATTTTCCTCAAAAAAATCTCCAAACTATGTACCAGTTGTAAGAAATTCACCATTTTTCTGCAGATAAAACTGTTATTAAGTTTATAGCTTTTTTTATATTAAGTTTCACGTGTGGAAAGATGATTTTTCTTACCATAGCTATATAAATTAAAGACTTTTTCTGGAAAATGTCACTTATGTGGGTTTACCTTTAAACAGATGACATGGCTGTTTACAAATATAACAGAAAACGACCAAAAAAAGAAAGTTGGCGTAGGTAGTGTTAATTGGAAGTGTCGATTTCATAAACCATGTCGCAAAGGCGCTCTTGTTAGTTCTGAATCAAATTCTATTGTCTATGATACTCGCTACTGAGCTGAAAAACATTATAGTTCTGTACACAATGAGTATTGTAGTTATGTACACAGAACTATAATGACTAATGACTCTCAAAAAACAACTGTCTGTCTAGAATCGAATTGTATTGTTGCTTTGATCTATTCACATTATGTGTATAATTATATTACATACTGTCTATAATACATTACACAACATTAAAACATCTTTACAGTCACAACTTACTCCTACAGCTGTAATTATATTCACATTCGCTCATGCACTAAATGATAAATCAAACAGGTTATTTTAGATGCACTATTTACACTTTACTATGTATATTATTATTGTCAAAGTATAACTTTACGTATAGTCCTTATATTTTTGCTTTCAAATAATTTAATCCCTCTCGTTGGTCCTGACTGAAAACCAGCGCCTTAGGAAACTTTGGCACATGCTGAGTCAGCGCCGTTACACTGGTATGACAATCATGTTTTGTTTTTCTTTTTTAACCAACTTCAAAAAAGGAGGAGGTTCTCAATTCGACTGTATGTTCTTTTTTTTGTATGTATGTTACACGATAACTCCGGTATTTGTGAACCGATTTTCATGATTATTTTTTTGTTGGAAAGGGGTCCATAGTGGTCCTATTCCATTTTGAAGAAAATCATCCACCTCTAAGGGTTCACGCATGAAGATTCATTTTTATAAATACCGCCTAACTTTAATTTAGAAGCAATTATTTTAATGGTTGAGTTTGCTATTTCTCCAATTCAAGGCGTTTTTCCCTCAATATACTTTGAGTAGTGAGAACCGATTTTTATTACCTCCAGTGTCAAGTCCTGTATAGTGGCGAACTAGGGGATATTTCAATAAAACTTAGCAAATAGACGTAATTCCACGTACTTTTGAGGTCGGTTTTTTTTAGTACTCTGTACTGAGATTATTTCTTTTATGCTTAATCTGTATTTGTGTTATATCAGTGAATAAAGTGTTTATCTATCTATCTATCATATCGCACTGTTAATACAATAGTGTATTTTTACAAAAAGAGGACTTTCTCAGAATCGATGAAAAACGAACTACTCACTTCCCGCAAAATATCATTAAAATTTATGTATGTTATAGTTTACTACAGACACTTAAACGATTTCTCAAATATATTTAAAAATAAAATGGAAAAAATAATTTCATATTTTTGAATTAGGATTATTTTGGCCAGAACTAGCTCACATAAAGTGTGTCTCATTTTGAGTAAGCGGATATTTTTTGATTATTTTTTACAATATTCTAACGACGGTCTTTTTGACGGGTAGAGAATCAAATTTTACGTTCAGTAATGATATAACATTAAATTTCACATATTTTGAGTTACAACACTATTGTAATAACAGTGCGATATAGTATTGGTAAAAGGCGCGTATCTGCACCAACCCAAATTTCACAGGAGAGGGATTTAACGTTATCACTTTATTATTTCAATGGTTACAACTTTCATTTTTGCACAGTAAGCATTAATTTATGTTGTCTACGGACTGACAGCAATAGATTCCCGTAAATTACGCTAATTTGGTTGCCACGGCATTTACGCGCATTTGATTGGCCACTATACTCAACGATATGACGGTACTCAAACGGTAACTCTGCGGTCACCTGATTGGTTAAATGGGCCTAAAGGTCTTGCGACATAAACCTTTATAAAAAACATAATTGGTTAAAATATAAGCGATACATGGCCACTTCTATTTTATCTCTTTTGTTTTTTGTTAACAAAATGTACATTAAATATTGAATTTCATTATTTTATTTACTCGTAAAAACGTATTGTATGCAATCATTACATAAGTAGGTCTTAAAAAGACACTCTACTCTAAAAACTCTCATTATCCAACAATTGCATAAAATATGGATAAGCTTTAATTGTAGAGGCATAAATTTACACAATTACATTTTACATGTTGAACTTACAGCATCGAGTATATAACCAGAAATAGAGACGAAATGTCATTTAATTTGTTTGAAAAGTATTCTGCCAAATCATTACTGTGACAACTGCGCTCCGATTGGCCAGCCCGAATTCGAAACAATTGACGGGTGTCGATAATGGACGAAAATTGCAAAATTACGTATTTAATTACCGATTAAATCTGATTCCGTTTGTTTTGTAATTAGATGTTTTGTTGTTTTTCTGTTCCCACACCACCGAATGGAACAGCCGCCATTGTTAGAGATATTATCTTTATTACGATAAATACAGAATATTTTTGGAATATACGGAGACGTACACACAGGTCAGTTGTTGGCGCTGTACTATTTAAGTTTCTAATTTGTGATTTCAGCGCAAACGAGAGTTGATATTTAAGTTGTACAAGGCCCAATTGCCTGATAAATTGCCAGGGATGAAAGGCCCTTGTTTCGTCTCTATTTCTGGTTATGTACTCGATGATTTACAGGCACATGGGACTTTTCAACTTATGTCTCAGATTGACAGGCGCTATGGCAGTGCCTCTCAGATCTTTGAGATTTAAAGCTCTGAGTGGTACTGCAACCGTTATGAACAGGCGTGTCGCTTACCGTCAGGTGGACGACTTGTTCGTCCCGTCACTTAGTCTCATAAAAAAACGTAATTTGTTTCATGTATAGGAAATGAAACTATTTTTCCTGATTTAAATCGCGTACATTTGTATTTTCAAACAAGCCAATGGGGCCTTTATAGGTCAACCGCGATCGTGGGACCTGTAAACGATATGGCAACAAATATACACGATTTAAATCCGGAAAAATAGTTTCATTTCCTATGTGTAACAATCGTAAAGACATAAGAACTCGACTTGTTTCGTGTAATTCGTATTATTTTCATGACCATCATGTTATAAAAGCATTTCTGGCGTATAATCACATGTGGGTTTAATATGCCAAGGGCATAAACTTTACCTTTATCTTAGAGATCACTTTTACAACTAGAGATTAAACACATTCCAGCTTCAAGATCGCGAGCGGCAACTGTACACCGCCACTCCCACCTCGATGGGCAGCGCAGTACAACTCCTGGCTGACAAAAGACTTCTCGTCAAAATCGTCAGCGCTAAAGACCTTGGAGGTGAGATTTGAAACCTGCTTCTTAGAGTAATGATACTGTACTTTGTGGCCCAGAACTCAGTCACGCCGACAGCGTCACTACTAGCCGCCATTAAAGTCCCAAGCGTGCAGGTGTCAGGGCACGCAGGGTGCAATGTGAGGTGAAAAAAAAACAAGATTGTAAAATGTAACGTATGTGTATGATTTTAGTATTCAATTTCGCACGCACTGAATTACTTCTATCGGTCCTTAAGAGTCTATACTAACTCAACTCGAATTTAATATTATTCCCTTAGAATAATAACGCATAGAATGATAGTTTCAGATCAAACGAACTGTCACAACTGAGTCAAAAATCAAATTCATGTAGGCTAGTTTTAGTAGTAGGTTAATTTTCGGTTTTAGTGAATATTTATATAAAAATACAAGTTGAAACGCGTTACTTCCTTGTGGAATGTGATGTTAGTATCTATTTTATGTTTGTCTGACGTATTTTTACACTCATTTACCGCACATTTCGTCATTTTTAGCTAAAATTCTTGAGCTGTTCGAAGTGCTAGTTGACCTTAAGCACTGAAGGCCCGCCCGCTCGTGTAGGCCCTTTGGGCGCGCTTCAATTTGCCTCACTTAGCGTGTGCGGACTAGGTTTCTATGCGTTATTATTCTAAGATTATTCCGTACTAATATGGTTCATTCTGCTTGCGTCGATCAACAGGGACACTGGGTATTATTTCAGTATTTATTATTTTTCAAACGAAATTAATGCCTTTTGAAAAATATATATCGTATGGTATACGTGTTCTATTCAGTTCAGTTGATATAAAACAAATCGAGTAAAGTTAGATACTTGAATACAGCAGTTTTCTTGTAAAATTTCAAGGTAAGTTTCTGTTTTTTTTTCTATCGTGAAAATTTTTAGGAATTGTGTTTTCACACCGTATAGTAATCAGCGTAAACCCACTATTTTACTATAATTTTTTTCCAAACTGATTGATTCAACACTTGACTGTTATGCGGACTCAACACACAAGCGCGCGTTGTGCCCATTTTACGGTTACGTGGTCGTCCTTCCCAATCGACTATTCAACATTTGGTGCCAAATGCGAGTGGACCGGTTCAATAAACAATCAGCAAACACCCGTACATCAACGAAACGCAAAGTCTGCCGAAAACAGCGCCGCTGTTCATAAAAGTATTCAGGAGAACCCGAGGCAGTCTATTACGCGCGCTTCGTTGCGACATTAGAACACCCATTTTGATAATAAATTTGTGTAATTTGCACATGTTGCTCGACGCTGTAACTTGCAGCGATGATTTGTCTTTAGTGACTGAAAAATAAACAACAGATTTGACAAAAGCAGCCTCAACAACATGACCGCTATGAATTATAAAAATCTACCCGCCCTTGATGGAAAACCCCTTAGTGACTACACTACTGTATTAGGAAATACACCTGTAATGGTAGTTGTATTACAACTACTTAGTTAATAATAATATGTTACGTTTACGATAGCATAAGGCTTTTCAGGATCTTGAAAATTGACAAGTAAGAAATAGTGTTTCAAGAAAATTTTCCACGGCAGACTGGTGATTTTTTATTAGTCGGTGGGCAGATCACTCACAAGGTTGACCGATAACCTGGTGATAGTTCCAGGAATAAGCTGAATGCAAACAGTACAGTTGAAGCGATTTTTGGGTGGCCTAGTCCAGCAGTGGACTTCTTTCGGCTGAAAAGATAAAGATGACGAGTCACACAACTAGTACTTAGATAGTAATGTGACATTTAAAAAATAAAAATAATATAAAATACATTTATTTCGCCACAAAACATAAGAAACAAAACATTTAAAAACTGATAGAAAAAACAATTGAGTGATGCGGATAAGTCTCCAGCTGTTCGCTTGCTGTTCGCAAGCTAATACGCGGAGTGTGCACCAAGTAATAACCTACCTTAAGTAATAACTAGCAATAAGTTAAAATTAACGGCTGTCCGTGTAGTTATATATTTTTTTATTTATTTAACTGCTAGGAGTTTTAATTGGGGACCAGTTGTTACTCGATTTCTACAAAGGTAGTAAGCCATTGCTTACATCGTTTTTTAAAAGTACTAACAACGTATTGAAAAATTGCAGGCAAAACGGGATGCATTGCACCTTACTGCGTTGTGGAAATGGACGAGCCTCCTCAGAAGAACCAAACTGCGTTCAAGAAAGAAACCACCAGCCCGCAGTGGGAGGAACATTTCCTATTGTAAGTGATTTTATAATTTCGTAGCGGTAGAGTTTTTTATCACAGAGTTCGTACAGGGAACTACAGCCACCATACTTACTTCTGCCGCCAAGCAGTAATGTGAGTAATTCTGCGTTCCGGTTTTGAAGAGTAAGTACTAGTGAAACTACAGACAATTGTGACTTGTCAAATTTATGTTTTTTTTTTGTTATACCAAATGACGGGACGTGTTCAGTCATGCGCCTGATGGTAAGCGACACGCTCGTCCACGGCAGTACCACTCAGCACCTTAAGTCGCAAAGATCTGATTGCTACTGCCACTACGCCTGTCACCCTGAGACATAAGTGAATAAATCCCAAGTGCCTGTTATTTGTACCAATGTAGAAAACTAACTTTTCTATATTGCCTCGGGTTTGGGTGTTTGTGGTAACGTCATCGTTTCCAATTTCCACAACACAAGTGCTTTAGTTGTTTTTTTTATTTTTTTTTATTGTGACTCGGCAAAATGACTGCACCGCGCCTGATGGAAAGTGCGAATACAGTCCAGAGATGAGAGTAACGGATGGAAAACACAAATATCTTCACTCCGTCACTATCATTTTGCCGGTCTGGCCAAATGCTTCTTCACACTACGTTTGAAGGACCCGATGTTATAGAGGGGAGGGAATACATGCGCCGGGAGTTGGTTCCACAATTTGATGGTTCGGCATAAAAACGAATTGCCAAACTTTTTAGTGCGGGACGGTATTGAACTGACCGTCCAACTGTGGCAACGCAGTCCGGCACGGGTGGTCCGCTGATGGAAAGGAGAGGAAGGGATAAGGTTGAATAACTCTTCAGAGCACTCACCGTGGTACAGGCGATAGAATACGCTAAGAGACGCTATATCTCTGCGAAGCTGTAACGACTCCGCATGCTCAGTTACATGAGGATCGTTGACAACACGGAAGGCGTAGCGCTGCAGTCCATCTAGGGCATCGAGCAAGTACTTGGCAGAGCCGTCCCAAAGGTGCGAACAGTACTCCATGCTGCTTCGGACCTGAGCTTTATACAACAGGTATCGCAGCTCTGGAGTAAAAAATCGGTGCACCTTGTTCAAGATGCCAAGCTTGCGCGACGCGGTACAGATGACGCTCTCAATATAATCTTTGTTGCTCATGTCCTTCCGGATGCTCATCCCCAGTAGACTGAGCTTCTCCTGCAGCGTCAGCGTTGTACCCTGAAGATGGGGAAGTGGAAGGAATGGGGATTTTTTGGAGCTGAACGCGCATACTTGGGTTTTCTTGGCGTTGAACTCAAGTTACTTACTTAGTTACTTACTTTGGGATCGGAGCAACGTAATGCTCACATTGCTTATCATTACTTATCGGCAGAAATAGGTAAGGTGGCATTATCTCCCTGGACGTACTTTTTCACAGGAGCTCTACAGCTTTGATATGTATATTTAGATTTAAAACTCTGTGGCACTGAAAAAAAAGATCAATATTTTGTGGTTTCCAGCGACCTTTCCCCACAAACAGCCGAACTTCTTTTCGAAGTATACGACCGCACGGGACCACCGTCTCCCGGCGGGGGAACCTCACAGCACCGCTTCCTGGGCCTCGGGCTGGTGGGGATCGACGAACTGCTGGCCGCTCCTTCGCAGAGGCAGCAGATCGCGTTGCAGACCAGACCTATGGAAGAGCATGATGTTAGCGGCGTGCTAACTGTAGAGGTTAGTGTTTTGAGACCGCCATCTTGAATACCTCATCTTCGTGACACCCTCCACATAATATGATATATTAGAGATCAAAATCTTTGAAATTTACACGGGGTTATTTATAAAGTACTAACAACCTGAGTGGACTATATTCCTAATATCATAAACAACAACTTTCATCCATGACATTCTTATAAATATAAATGGTTCGTTCCATGGCTTAAGCCGGGTACTCACTGGCGAGCTGTAACTGTAACCGTTGCATGTTATGTAACCAAAAATCATAGTGTGTGCATGGTTCTTGCCGCGGCGAGCTTGCAGTGAGCCGTCTAATTGAAGACTGTTTCAAGCGTACACACTAGAACCTCGTTACTGCATCTGCAAGTTACAGTTACAGCTCCCTAATGAGTACCCGTCTTTAGTTGACATAGCGTCTGGCACGATATACTAAAAGACGTCGGTTCGAATCCGGCCGGATTGAAGAGATTTTTTCTGAGTGTTCGATCTTTGTATTAATAATTATAACGAACTAGTGGAGTAATTTCACAAATAATATGGAACATCTATTCAATACAGTTAATAAAAAAAAATAAGGAAACTTTCAGACGTCGAAACCGCTTGATTGGTTTACTTCAGCTACTTTCACAGTCTAATGACATACGGCATTTTGCTTTGGGGTAATGCCGCCGATATCAATAGAATCTTTGTCCTGCAGAAACGTGCGGTTAGGGCAATTTGCAATCTGGGCCCCAAAGTATCTTTGAGAGATAAGTTTAAGGAAATTAACATTCTTACACTAGCCTCACAGAACATTTATGAAAATGTAATTTATGTTAAAAGGAATAGTAATTTATTTATGAAAAATAGTGACAGACATAACATTAATACGAGGAATAAAATAAACTAGCTTTTCTTGATAGTCGTCTTCACAAAGTCAAAAAATCATTTAAGGGGCAATGTATACGCTTCTATAACAAGATTCCGGTTAATATACAAAATTTGCCTTTCACCAGGTTTAAAACTATAGTGAAATAAAAACTTTATACTAAAGGTTATTTATACAACTTCTGCGTACTTCGATGACAAAATCCGTGTTAGTAACCCTTTTAGCTCTTGGAGGTAGTCTCGATCTCTGATGTTTCAAATAAAAAGAAATATATATTGTAAATGTTGAATGTATACAAATGTTATTTACAAAGAGCAACCCCTAGAGTTTCTTGCTCATTCTTCTCAGGGGAGTCTGCCTTACGAATGAGCGGTAGAGTTTAACTATTGTGACGATTTCAAGTGTAATAATGCTTACCTATGATATAAAGATTATTTTGAATTTGAATTTAATAGCAACATCTCTAGCCAGGGCTTGGTTGCTAGAAAGTTACCTAACTGGATGACGAAATACTTTCATAGATTTCTCATAGATGGCGCTACGGCTAAAAAGTCGTTGGAAAGCCATATATAAAGATCCAATAACAAGCACATAGAAAGGTTTGTGAGGTCCGCTGGTTCATTCCGTGGCTTGGTTGGCCTAGCGACGGGCGCGGTTTGCTAGAAGATAGTTCGTATCTTTGTATTAATAATTTAAATAAAAATAATTAAATAGATCGCTCTAACCGGTGATAATTCTGTGCGGTAATAAAAGAAAGCGCTAGCGTAAATACCAAACTAAAGTTGATAATTCTCGATTCCAGTTCCTATTCATTGAAGGGCCGGACATTCCGGAGCTAGGCTCCCGGCCGGTGAAGATCAAGGAGAGTCTCCGGACTGTCTCACCGCAAGGTCTTCTCACTACCACCACCAAGACTATCTTTAAGCAAAACGGTAAATTTCCTATTTCTTAATTTCATATTGGACCAGGTTCGTAATTCTGACATAGGGAATCACCACATTCGTATCAAGGTTCTAGTGTGTACGCTTGAAACCCTCCCAGCGGAAGAGAAACTCGCAACGTCATTTTCGCTCTTATTGCACGGACTTACAACTTTTCCTGACCGACATAATGCAATTCCGTTAATTTATTGGCTAGTATTAATATTAACATGAGATACAACCCTCGGCGTCCTCAGGCTTTTGTTCTAAATGTTTTTTAAAAACAACGCATCTTTTTACAATCTCTCTCTCTCTCATCTGAGCGTTGTCCCGGTTGCGTCCTCAGCAGTGTTGCTGCGGAGCCCGGGGTCCGCTTTCCTGCTTTTTCTCCTCCACTTTGCACGGTCTTCGGCATCCTTAGTGGTGAGACCATTGGCACGCATATCACCCTTGGCGACGTCAAGCCAGCACTTCTTGGGTCTGCCCCTTCTACCGGGGCCCGGCGGAGGTGGCATCTTTTTACAATCCCATCACAATAATGTGTCGCATGACCTTTAATTTTAATTTTTTTCAAATTGAAATGGGACCAATACTGAGGTACCTTCTTTCCAACAAAAAAATAATCATCAAAATTATCAAACAGGTATCACGTAACATACATACAAAAAGTACAGTCGAATTGGGAGCCTCCTCTAGGCACTTTTTGACGTATGTGCTTTAAGGTCGCTGACCCTAGTATTGATGGTTATATATTGTGTTCCACAGGTCACAACAAGTCCCAACTGACAGAATCAGCACTAAGAGAGCTGGAACTAAGCCCAACAAGCGCCGCTAACAAATCTACGCTTATCATACATTCTGTACAGCGGGTAAGAATATAGCAATCTCCTTTTATTTGAGAATGTTGTTGGCATAAAACCTTTACCAAGTCTATTAAATACAATCAACGAATACACCCTAGAATGTTCCTTAATTATCAATTTGTCGCATAAAATATGACTTAGGGTCAAATCCCACTCAGCACAAATCAGCACGCTGCGACCTACGACACTTAAAGAAAGAAATCTTTTTTGTATTGTTAACCTTTAATATACATTCAGAAAAATACTTTGACAATTAATGCAAAATAAATTTGCAGTATAGCTCCTAAAGACTTAGTCCAGAGAAGTACTGCCACCTTACCTATTTCTGCCGCCAAGAAGTAATGTAAGAATTAAAATAAAATAGGTTTTATTTGACATGCATTTAATTCAAACATAAGAACAAAAAATTAATAAAAATAAATTCAATAAAAATAAAAAAGAAACATACAAAATAATAATAAAAAAAATAAAAGCAAGTCAAAAGGGTTCATGATGATTACATAGCCCTCGCTGTTATTCTATCATGGCCCGTCATAATATGGAACACCACTATTCAAATAATAATTTAAATGTTACATGTTACGTACAAAACAAAAATCTAAACTAAAATAACTGTAGACATTTAGGGGTCTAAGTGACTAAAATTTGACATAAGTAACAATGGACGAAGTAAGTTATCAATTTGACTAATAAATAAGTAATTTAAAAAGCATACCACCAAAAATAAACATCAAATAATAGTGGACAATTAGGCACTAAGTAAATAAAATTAGACACAAATGGGAATCCATATGAGTAATAAAAAGTTACTGCGTTTAGGTTTTGAAGGGTAATGGGTGCTGGAGAAATTACCGGCACATGGGACTTGTCAACTTATGTCTCAGGATGATGGGTGCAGTGGCACCTCAAATTGAGATTTAAAACCCTTGAGTGGCACTGCCAGTGCTATGGACAAGCGTGTCGCTTACCACCACGGTCACGACTTGTTCGTCTATTCACCTGCGTGCTGATTTTGATCCAAATCGGAAGCGAACCGGTCGGGTAGCCTCGAAATCAGATTCAGAGGTTTCTGAGCGAGAAGATGAACCTGATTCCTACTATATCTGTCTAATTTGTGAGTTAAATCAACTATTGTTCCGGTTAGAAATGTCAAAAGTTTCCGATCGGCCAGTTGTGAATCGCAATTATGCGCCTCGACTCGGAAGAAACGCAGTTTCTGACCGGGAGAGGCAATCAAAATCAAGCTGCTGGTAAAATAAAACAAATTGTTTTAGGACATTTTATTGAGAATAAAATCTTATGGACACTGAACATCTCTGTCGGCTCGCAGCCAACAAAGTTTTTTCTGAGTGCATAATCGTATACACTGTATATATGATTATTATACAAGCGACTGAGAGACGAAATGATCACATCTCCACGAGAACAACACCTCAAAGCGGTATTTCGCATGAAAAGACGAATGTCACGAGTAGAGCATAGTTTGCCCAAAACTTAATAAAAATTCTTTAGAAAAAATAATGTATTGTCCTCTGCCATTTTTTTTTTTGCAAAATTTCTTGCTGTTACTGTCTTGAGTTAAGTCAACAATCGCACAGTCGTTCAAAGGTTCGTGCTAATTTGGTCTATGTGTGACGCTAATTTAATCTAATTTGGTTTTAAACTAACAAAAAAATGTTTTTTTTTTCAACCCGTTTGCCGTGACGCATGATGATTTGGATGACAAACAAATACAAATTATTATACAAACTACAACTGTAGGAACCGAAAAAATGTATAAAGGTAAGTTGACATAGATAGCAAAGATGCCTGTTTCGTATTCCATAGCAAAATGTTACTTTATGGACTCATTCTACTGTTAAGAAAAATATAAAAATCTTACTAAATTCACATTTTCCATTCAGAATCGAATTTGCTAAAGAACTTCATATTGTTTTGATTTATTGAGCTATGTAAGTTGAAAGCTAAAAAGTATAACAGTCTGAAAATGAAACTATTTTTCCTGATTTAAATAGCGTATATTTGTTTTTTCAACCGTAACTACGGGACCTGTAAAGGTCCCGAAACGTTTTGGTTTGTTTAAAAAACAAATTTACGCGATTTAAATCCGGAAAAATAGTTTCATTTCCTATTTGTAACAATCGCGAAAACTTAAGAACTCGATTACAACAGACTGTTTGTTGTTTTATATATCATAAATTGTTTGTACACTTAAGTCGATGAGCCTTTAAAGTTTTATTTTAACCCTTTTTTAAACGCCGTGTATTACGCGCTAGAAATAGAGAAAAAGAACTAAATTCATTTTCAAAAAGTATCGCATTTAGCTAGCATGTTATATTGTTATTAGATAACCAAAAAAAGTTTTTTGTATGTCGTGTGTGCTAACAATTCCAACTGTCCCCGAAAGGTGGAAATGACAGAATCGGGAAAATTCATTGAAATAGAACGAGATAGCGCTGACAATGACTGTGCCATAGACAAGATAGATGAGGAGAATGAAATGGGTATGAACAAAGACAATAATAAAACGGCCACAGATAAAGAGAGAATGCCAGTAACATCGAGTCCAAATCAATCACCGGGTAAAACGGTGAGAATCAAAGAAAACGGGACTCAACCAAACGGGGATAAAGTTGGTCAGGTAAGGTTGCTGTATGATTATTTAGTTGTACTAATTAAGAAACTGTTAAAAGCACGATTTGAGTGAATGCTATTTGTGTGGCATGACTTTAGTTTTTAAGTATTATTCAAACCCAGGGGGTCTTCTTTCGTTCCCCATCCGACATCCGTCCCTGTGGTAATTATAGACCACCTCAAGTTGCTGTATTTTTTGCTTCTAGGTTAGAGTTCAGACACCAAAGTGACAGATATCGTATCACGTTCATAGAGAAAAAGATGCTTGAAGTTGCATGGAGAAATAAGTCGTATATGATTCATGGACTTATTTCAGAACGTTCCCATGAGTCATAATTATGACTCATTGGACAGGGAAATTATTAAAGCCCTGAGTGGCGCTGCAATTATTATGGACAGGCGTATAGCTTACCATTAGGCGCACGACATTATAAAAAAAAATATTTTTCCTTGATAAGAGCTGAAAGATTCTTATTGAAATGAAATTACAAATCAATGTACTGAGACTTGCAGTGTTTTGGTTTATTTATTTATTAGTTTTATTTTATTTGACACGATAGAGTAATTCTTTGGCAATAAGGCCATCCGTTGACGAATTAATATGTTAATAAATATACATTACTTGTTTTCAGCCCGGTGACATCGTAAACAATCAACAACAAGACGCGCCACCCGAACCCGCGCCGCGAAAAAAGAAAAGAGACTTCTTTGGAACCATTAAAAGAAGGTAAACGTTACATTTTTTATTTCCCACAACTATGAAAACACTGCCAGTCTTCTAGTTCTACAATTTAATACGGTAAGTTATTTCCCGGATAGAATGGATTGAAGCATGGAGTTAATAAGGTTTTGAAGATTCGGCAGGTGGAATAGCACTCGTGCGCGCCGGGCACTCAATATGTTTAAATACTTTGTACGAAATAGTAGCTGATGACGTCATCGGCGCGTATAAGTGTGCGTCCATCTTTATCACGAAAAATCATGGAACTGACATTTTGCCCAAGTGTAAATTCATTTAACAACTGACTTAGCTATTCACTGAATGTGGTATGGTTGTTTTTTGCGCAGATATTTTAATAAGGTTTTATATTACTTATATTAGTTATCCTTTTAAGGCAACGAGAAAAAAAGCGAGAAGGCAGAAACGAAGCAGATATCTCTTCGTCCTTATTTTTCGATCTTTTAATTTCTTCTTCATTATTGTCTATATTGTACAATATTTTATTATTTGGAAATAATTAGTACTTTTTTTTATAATATCAAGTGACGGTACGGACATTTCGTGCGCCTGATGGTAAACTGCACGCCTGTCCATGACAGTTGCAGTGCCATTCAGAGCTTTAACTCGCAAAGATCTGAGGGGCACTGCCACTGCGCCTGTAACCCTGAAACATAAGTTGACAGTACTTCCATGGACGAGCTCTCTCACAAGTAGCTCTACTGCTACTAAATATTTAAGTGTGATGAGAGCGCTGACATCGTAACTCGTTTTAGCAACCAATGCCTCGAATGTACCAAGCACAGCACTTTTTACACTTCTGTAGCAAAAGAGGATATTTGATATCCAGTATATCTTACAGGTTGGGTCGATCTCGCACTCGCGGCCAATCTTTGGATTATCCCGACAGTGAGTCGGAGAACCGCATAAGAAGCATTAGCGCTGAAAGAAATAGCCACGGTAAGCGTTATTATAGGACAGGTAATTGACTCAGTTTTGGTTAAGCGTGTCACCCACCATACTTATATCGAAAACAGGGACAGTAAAAGTTGGTTAAATAATAAAAAGTTTTTTTAATACAAAACAAATAACATTTTATTAAATTTAACCAACTTCTGCTGTCCCGAATATTTTCTTCCAATACAATACAATAAAATCATTATTATAAGAGATTTGAGTCTATCAGTTTGACCAACTTCGGCTGTCGCGATTTTTTTCGTCCGGTACAATGAAACCCTTCATGAAACAGTGTGAAATTTTTATGGACAACTCAATTTTGTCCAAAAAAATGCCCATACGAAAATTGTTTTCACAAAAAAAGACTTAATGGTTCCTAAGACAGTTTCCTTGTATCTTCTATGGTTCCGCATTTCCACATAATGTCACATTTACAAAAAAACGCCCTATATTATGTTCGCAGACAAAGCTCTGGCGATCCCAAATAGAAACGTGTATTCTGCCGGCGCGTCGCCTGCACAATCCGGGGATGAGTCAAGGACTTCTAGAAGGTATGTTTTACCAACATTCATGTTCCTATAGAAGATGTTTCTTAGGAAACCTCACCTTTCAGTGGTGGGTAGTGTAGCGGGATCATCGGTGTACACAAACAAATTCATTACCTAAATTTTGCCTGCTGGGGAAACTTCAAATCCATTTACATTTTTTATCAATAAACTTTCATTCCCAATCTTTTACTGTTTTGATAAAGCATTATCGTTGAATTTAAGAAAACCAAACTTCTTATGGAATCATTGCTCTTTCGAATACCTGTAATGTTATATTAAAAAAGAAATTATTTAATAAATATTTAGGTATTTATGAGTTCTTAGGTTTTAGCGATGGTTACACATAGGAAATGAAACTATTTTTCCGGATTTAAATCGCGTATATTTGTGACTCAACGGTCAGTCAAGCGTGACCATGGGACTTGTAAAGGGCCCGAAACGAAGGTTTGTTTGAAAAAACAAATATATGCGATTTAAATCCGGAAAAATAGTTTAATTTCCTATTTAGGTATTTTTTAATTATGGCATGGCAAGACTACATTATATATAATTAACTTTACAAAATGCCACAGCTATTTTAAAATTGCACAGGTTTAATACTAACTTATATATTTAATGCTTTTGATTAATTTAATAAAATAATGAGTAATGCTGTCTTGCCATAGCGTAATGTTATAAAGTATTGTGAAATATATTTATTTATATGGTAACACACGATAAAAACTAATCGAGTATTTTCTTTCTTTCCATTTGGCAACACTCACGCTGGGGGTAACGCACTCTGCAATATGGTAACACTTGTTTTGCGTACTAATGGTTCTTTTTACACAATCTTTCTCATTTACGCTTTTTTTATCAATTTCTTGTAAATATCATTCGCGTTAATTTACTATTGGGTTATTTTCCCATAATCTGATTTTTCTCTACAATATTATTTGTGTGTTATTGTTTATGTGATCATTAAAATTGTTTTTGTCCTAATGAACATTGTTTTTCGAACCACGTTCCGTTTCCAATGTTCCATTTCCATCTTCACGCTCCACAAAACCAAACTACATATAACTATATTTGTATTGGTTTCTCCTTTCAATCGTCCTTAACTGCACCTACACAAAAAACCTTGTGGCTAATTTGACCTCTATTCCGTTTACATAACTAAACCTATATATGAATGAAATATATATCTCTCTCTGCCCATCCAAAATCCCCACCAAAAACAAACCCAAAATTAACCAATAAAGGTCCTCTCTCAGTGAAGTGTCGGGCTTCAGCACCGCATCAGCGCGTACATTCATCCACGAAGCTTCAACGCTAGTCCTTGAGACAATTGAAGCTGGTATCAAGAAACACTACTTGGTGCCTTTGACGGTCGCCCAACGGTCAAGATGGCGACGGAAGGGCGTCAAGCTGCATATTTATAATGAGCATACTTTTATTGCTAAACATCTTAGCGGGTAAAGTATTCATCTGTCTATTATTTTTCATAATTTTTAATAATAAGATAACTGTAAGTGTTGATTGCTGGGTTGATTCGATTCGGGTGCTGTGAATAAAAATGGAAAGAAATCGATCGACAACTGAGTTATCGTAATGTTCTGAATCGACCCACAGGTCATCGACTTCTGTTGTACAAAGCAAAAGTACTAACCCCATGTGGAGTATTGCTCACATCTCTGGGCGGGAGTTCCCAAATACCAGCTTGACTCACTTGACTCCATCCAACGTTGGGCTGTTGTCGTCAATGTTCCCAAACTCATACACGGTTTGGAGTCCCTTAGTTTACGGAGAGACTTTGGCATTACGTTGTTTCCTTCCTCGAACCTGCAAGTAGTGGAATGATGCTTTGTGCGTTTCTAAAGCGTGTCAATAGAGCTCTTAAAAGCTGGCAACGCATAGGCCGCTCATCTGATGTCGCAGATTTCCATGGGCGGCGATGACCACCTCCCATCAAGTGGCTCGTCTGCTGGTTTGCCTCCAAAATAAAGAGACTTTACATAAAAAAGAAGACTGGTAATAGTTTACTATTATGTAATCCAGGAAATTTGATTATGACGTCATCAGCACGGTTATTACCGATATTGCGGTTTGCAGGGCGCTATCAAATGGGCGTTTAGCACATCGAGTATATAACCAGAAATAGAGAAGAAATGTCATTTAATTTGTTTGAAAACTATTCTGCCATATCATTACGGTGACAATTGCGCTCCGATTGGCTAGCCCGAGTTCGAAATAATTGACGGATGTCGTCTATGGGTATCGTCAATTGTTTCACTTCAAGTCGACCAGTTAACTTGAGCTTTGCTATAATGAACAAAAATTGCAAAATTACATATTTAATTACCCATGAAATGTAACTTTGTTTGTTTTGTAATTAGATGTTTTACTGTTTTTCCTACACCACCGAATAGAACAGCACGGCATTGTTAGAGATATTATCTTTATTATAATAAATACAGAATATTTTTTGGAATATACGGAGACGTATACACAGGTCAGTAGTTGGCCTGTCTATATTTCAGTGCAAACGAGAGTTGATATTAATAAGAGCTGTATCGCTAATGTGTTACCAGGAACATATGGCCCTTATTTCGTCTCTATTTCTGGTTATATACTCGATGAGCACAGCGAAATCGCTTTCATAACAACCAAGTTTTATGGTATTACAATACTTATAATATTATAATATGCATTATGCATCGAATGCTTAATGCATATCATTTTCTTGAGTTTATTATATATTATTCGTGATCGATATCTAAGAAAGCAAGGATTGCATTTGGGTAATTTTCCGAAAAATTTGGTAGTGGAAATTTTTTCGGAAATATTTCTGAAAAATTGTATAAATATAATTCGAAGGCTCATAGTTCTACGTTTAAATATATCCCTTGAAGTTTTTTTTAACGTGACTTCCAAAATAATATTGTGTTGCTAAAAACAAGTTAGAACAAAACGAGATTTAAAATGATTGGTCAACAGCAGATAAAAAATAATTACTTATAGGTAAAAAAATCTTTACAATGGCTCCATTGACTTACATGGACTTTTATTTGAATTATATGGACGTCGGGTCCGCGCTAAAAAGTGTCCGCACTTGTAAGGCGCTAAAATCGTATACAGAGCGCGACACTCCGCTTTAGTCTTCATTTGTTCTACGGACAGCGCGATACTGCGATGACATAACAATTTAAATTTCGAATAGGTTGACTTGGGACATTTTTTTCGTGGTTTTTGTATTAGACCCGTCGTCCATTTATTTGTAAGTCAATGAATGGCTCCATCGTTTTCGCTCAGTAATCTCCATATGTTGACAGGTGTAAACTGTCATATATGGAAACTTAGAATAAAAACGCATAGAATTATAGTTTCAAATCAAACGAACTGTCACAAGTGAGGCAAGAATCAAATTCATGTAGGCTAGTTTTAGTAGTAGGTTAATTTTCGGTTTTAGTGAATATTTATATAAAAATACAAGTTGAAACGCGTTACTTCCTTGTGGAATGTGATGTTAGTATCTATTTCATGTTTGTCTGACGTATTTTTACACCCATTTACCGCACATTTCGCCATTTTTAGCTAAAATTCTGGAGCTGTTCGCGGTGCAAGTTGACCTTGAGCACTGAAGGCCCGCCCGCTCGTGTAGGCCTTTTGGGAGCGCTTCAATTTGCCTCACTTAGCATGTGCGGGCTAGGTTTCTATGCGTTATTATACTAAGTATGGAAAAATATTTTTCTGAAATTTATGAATTTTTCAAAATGAAATTTTTTTACCCAATTGACCCAACACTATCCATATAGAAAGGATCGAATTCAAAGTATCAGGATTTGCTAAGATACTTGTAAGACACTCAATGACATTAATATTATATACAAAAAGCATATTGTTTTACAGTGGCACTGTCTGTGAGGTATGCCAGAAGACGATAGCGCGACGGCTCGGCAAGCAAGGATACGAGTGCCGCGACTGTCAGCTCAAATGCCACAAACACTGCCACATCCGGGTGCCCAGCACCTGTCCTCAATCCACTGTGCCCAATATGGAGCTGTGAGTAATATCATTATAAGTTTTTACATAATCTATTAAAGAATGAGAGACGGAGGATGTGCTTAAAAAGACCAGGTTAAAAGTTCCAGACTTGGAGTAAAGAATGAAAAGACGAATGCGTATAGGGGAAGAGATTGAAGTATGCAAGCATATTGCAAGCATTTGACGACTTCCGTTGTCGAGTGGCTTGCACTAGTGACGAAAGAGACTCAGTCTTTTAAGGCCTTTTAAAAAACCTCGACTTATTTTCAACGCCTCACGACTAGTCTACTCTTTAACCCTCAAGTCTTGAGTCATAAGACTAAAACTGAAGACTAATTCGAGTCGAAGTCTTTTAACCCTAGGAGGCTTAAAAGACCTGTAGGACTAAAACAACTAAAATGACTGGCGCCTCATAGCCTCGGGAGTCGCGAGTCATGGAGCCGTATGGCGTGCTTTTATTTCTACCCACAAGGTACTTATTTTACGATTTTTATTAAAAGTAAATAAACATGATTATTTACTACATACTATTTACGCCATTTTTATGTATAAACTTCGGGTTTAATAAGTCCTTTGCAAATAACTCGAGTCGTTTAAGTCTTTTAAGTCTTTCAAGTCTTTCAAGTCTTTCAAGTCTTTCAAGTCTTTCAA